CAAAGACAATCAGTTTCATAATACTTCCAGATACTTCTTTTTCAGCTGGGCCCATCAAGCCAGGAAAACCAGTTCCTTGCACTTTGTTATACATCTGTATCCTTGCCTATAGCTCCTGACAATTCAGAGAGAAAAAGTGCCCGATGGTGGGGAAAGGGAAGAGTAGAACAGTATCCATTACACCAGCACAAAGTGGGTTTAAGAGTTTAGGAAAGATTCAGGGTTTGATGTTATTTTGTTTAAATCACCACAACCATCCCTGGATTTTGAACTGCAAAGTGCATAATCCCTTTCCATGGAAATTCCATATTTTCTTCTTTTTCATGGTATCTTCCACCTAGGCACTAGTCTCGTGCTTCCTTGTCAGTCTTTCTTCACAATTTTCACCTTCCTATCGTTCATGCCCACTTGTTTTTCCTAAATAAATAGTATATGGGCAGTTTCTTCTGTATGTTAATTTTCTTCCATTATCAGGGATACTGTCTCTTTCGTACACTTACACCACCTGTGGGTGCCAGATTTAGACAGCTACACATATCTGAGGCACCCTCTCTTGACTGTACAAATGTCAAAGTGATCTTTGCTTGTAATACACAATAATTCATTGTCCATACTTTCCAAACTGTGATCAGTACACAGCGTTTTGCTGTGTATTAGTATGATGTTTAATGTACTCATGTGATATTCAGGAAAGATCTTGCAAAAAAAGCCATAATTCCTATTTTACCAATGGAATTTAAATCAGGAAGACCCACCTGCTTTGTACTTTTTTAGTACTGGTGATTAGATTATTCTATGTACATGGCAGTATAGGGGAAAAGACGTTAGTTGGAACTGATATATAAGCAGTTTCACTGTTTGTAGGAACTCAATGTAGACTTCATGGTTCTTTGTCATGCTGCCTCTCCTTGTTTTTATCTGCAGCACTGGGCAGGTCTGATTTTCTTGAGAAGCACTGAAAACTAGGCATTGCACAAAAACAAAGGGAAGGTGCTTAGCCCGTCAAATTTGGCTGTTCTGATTGCAAAGTGTTGGCTGAACAAAAGATAAGATAAAAAACTATCATACTGCATTGGTCTCCTTCAGCACTGATTGACTGCTAATCTTTCACATTTTAGTTCACCTAATGGAGATGAGAGACGGAACCGCTAAGCTAGTCTCAATTACAATGAGCAACCTCACTGCAGACATGTGTTTGGCCTGAGTAATTGTCAATGCGTTAACAAGGCCTCCATTTAAAGGAAGGGAGAACAAAAGCCAAAATTTATCTGCCTATACTATCCATTCTTACTAGGGACCAACTAAAGCGAATGTACCTAATTCCATCAAGGGCATTTCTTCTGTTTAATGAGCACATAGGAAAGAGAGACATTGTTCAAGTACAAGGGTTCAGTTTGCAGCAAGCCACAAATCACATTTCATTTATCAGGCCTACAGATGACAGGATATCATCAAATCCCTGGAGAGTCATATTCATTAAAAAGAAATCTTAAGTAATTACAACAATTAATTGACTTGAAACAGTTTCGGGTGGAGAAGGTTTACATAATTCATTTGCCAGACAAAACAAGCCTTATGAAGTCAGGGCAACATATTTAAAAACAACCTCCCCTTCTTGTCCTCTTAAAAAGCACAGGATAACACCAAACACTTGAAGACAACTGAAATAGGCAAACAAACAAATGAAAGACAGGAAAAACACCTATAACTTTATAAAAGGAATAACACTTCACTGACCTGCTCACATCATTACTTAGAATCCTCAGAATAAAGCATTCTCCATTTCTCCTTGTTTATTCCAAATAGGTGGAGTATTTCTAAGGATTAATTATGTAATAGAAAATGCTGGAAAATTGGCAAACTTAACTATTTCACTCAGCCTCTGTACAATGCAAACATCATGTATGTCTGATTGCAAATTCATCCTGAAGTTTTGTTCAGATTGTGAAGTGTGTAGACTTACTTTGCTACTCCCTGTTGACTGATCCTGAATTTATAGGTATCAGAATGCCATTCTCATGCCTGTACCAGCAGTGAATAGAAATATTTCTCAGATAAATCCTATTATGCTGTCTAATATTTTCTTCTGTTCCGTAACCTGTGTGTTTATCAGTTTTACTTCTTGCTTTATATTAATTTTACAAATTGAGGCAGAGGTATACTGCTTCATGGGTGTTTGGTCTCTAATACAGTATGATATTAACCCACGGTAGGACTTTGAAGAATTACAGAATGCAGGTATAGCACTGAGATTTTCACAGTAACTCCAACCTCTTGAGCTGAGAAAGTTCTCTAAGTGCTCAGACAGGTGTCATGGTTTGAGAGCCTCAAAATCCAATTCCCTAGTCCAAACCCCCTCCCACATCTCAGCCCAGTGTGAGATGGCTTTCCAGACACCACACAAGACTCAAATGGGGGAAAGGGAATATATTACAATGACTGTACAAATAAATACTACAATATACATTATATACAATCTTAACTATCTCTACCATGACATAAGTATTTACAATGGATCAAATCTCTTCTCCCCTCCAAATAAAAGTCCAGAAGGGAAGAAGGAAAAGATCCCTTTCTACTCTCAGAGAAGCAATGTCTCTAAGGCAGCAGGCATCTATCCTCTTCTCATGCAGCACCTGTAGCTGGATCTCTGCCAGTACACACGAGGGGGTATCCAAGCCCCTCGACCACTCATCTTCAAGCAAGGGTCTTATCTTCCATGGACTGCATTCACCCAGACAACGGTCGCATCACCACGGTCATACCACGAAGCACGGGGGTCTTCGTGACGGTCAGTATCTTCAGGGGATTCAAGTCCCCTTTGCAGAGCTCTGTGCTCTGTCTCAAGTAGCGGGGGGGCCAAGGTCCCCCTCTCCGCATTCCTTCTCGGAGCTTTTCAGCTCCTTCCTGCAGTGCTGTAGCACTCCAAGACTAAAAGTCCATCATCCCCTCCTTTCTAGGAGGGGTCTCAGAGGGGTATGGGGTTTTATTTCAGTTCTTACCCCAAATGCCTCTCTCTCTCTGTAGAGCCTAATTCTCTCTCTGCTGCTGGCTCTCTCTCAGCTCTCCTTCCAGGAGTTCTCTCTATGTTACTGCATGCCTGTCATTGATGCTTGGTCTTATCTCTTCTGGCTCTCTGCCACCGTTTCTTCGGTCACTGCAGTTCTGCCGCCGCTGCCGCTGCTGCTGCTCACAGCGGAGAAACATCCCCCAGCTCTTAGCTACAGATACTTAGCCCAGTCTTACACTGTTCCAAGTCTCTGTAGCCCCCCTGCCGGGGGCTGGGGGGGGCCCAGAGGCCCCAAGGGGCTCCGAGCCCCTTCCTCGTGGCTTTCACAGCATGGCTACCTCTTCAACAACAACTACAACCACCTTCTCTTCCATTCTGCTTGTGATATGTCTATATTTTGCAGAAGCGCTCATTGGGTAAAACCTCAAAACTTCAAGGGTCACCACCCCCTGGGATTTTACCATTTTATAACTGCAGGGGTAAAACTGTTCCCCCCCACCACAACGGGTTTTTAATATGTCATTGTTTCCATTGGTGGCACCAAGTTGGATTCTACTTCTCTACACATACATATCAATATCTTTGGGGAAATAAAGGAAAAGAATAGTCATGCTTCAAAAAATATATCTGCCAGAATAACAGTCACAGACAAGTAAGTGCCAGAAATACTCCGGGATGTTTGTAAAAACGTTTAGATTCAATGGGTAGGTATACAACTCATTTATCATATAGTTTCACTTGAAGAACAAGGCAAATATTATGAGTCTTAAAAACTAGTTTCCTACATCATTAGCTAAGAAAAATCTGCAACTCAACCTAAAAATAAGGAAATGCCCGATTCAAATGATTAATGATACTCAGAGTCAGAGAACAGGTTGACAAAATTAGTGCCTATATTTGACAAGGAAGAATGACACTTCTTTAAAACTTGACAGTTAAAGAACTTCTCTGTTCATGAGTTTCTGGCCTCTACTATCTGCCCGCTATGTCCTGTCACTAACAGAGATTCTTGTCTCATTTCAAAGCTCTCCGCATGATGTCTGCAGAAAGAGACAAAAAATCCTCATTTTTGGTAGTGCCATATAGTGAGAGAATAAATAATGAAATTCCCATGTTTTCTGGCTATCTATAATTTCAGAAGATTAATTTCATATATATTTAATTTCCAGATATTCTGAATATTTTTCTAGTCATCATTGCCTTTCTTTGAAGAGGGTAGTTTAAGCTGCCTGCCACAGTGGAAAGGCCCACACATTTATGAGTTTAATATGGAATATTTTTCATATGTACAAAAATATAATCTTAGAAACCCTGTTTTATGTGAATTCCATTCCTCTGATAAAATGCAGGGAGTGCAAGCTATTTTGTTTTTTTTAGCTTGTCAATCAGTCTCTCTACATTAAAATAAGGTAACATAGACAGGTCACATTTGCCTCAAATATTTATATGCTTTATAGCTTTAATTTGTAATTCATGAAGACAGAGTACAACTTCAGTTGTACTAGTAGGACCAAAGGAGAGTTTCGTATACAAGCATTGTGTTTCCCTCTGATTCTGACCATAGTAGACAGTGTAAAAAAAGAACAGAATATATAAAAACATTGCACGTTATTTCTCAACATTACATAAAAGACTGAGGCAACCAACCCATCACAAATAAGACATTGTCACTGCAGCAATGATTAATGAGATGCTAAGTGCAAGCAGAAAATATTATTTTCTGCCTAAGCATACAATCAGGTTATTCTGCAAATTTTTTCAGCAATGCAGAGTTCACATGTGCTGGAGCCTACATAGCAGAAGGGATGCGTTTAAATAGTGTAGGTAATCCACATACTAAGTTTCAGACCATTACAAATGCAGACAACTAAAAAATAAAACCTACTAAGCCTTTGATTAGGCAAGAAAATAACATAAAAATCTTACCAACACGAGAAAACTGGAGCTTGATGGCTGATTACAGATCATGACCAGGGGCGGGGCTAATTCCTGCCACCATTCCCACTGAAGCAGATGCCACTGAGAACAGCAGGGTGCACCTCAGCGCAGGGCCATGCCCTGGCAGATACTGAACTTTTTCCTACCAGAGCCCACTGTTAAAAACTCTGCCATGTGCCCTTAAACTATCTCATCTCGGGAGTTTAAATCCAGATACTCCTTGAAGGGGAGAAAAGGCCCAATACTTGTGTTTCCCACTGACCTCCAGGCCTGGGGCTGTGCCCCCACTGTGACTCCTAGAGATATTCCCAAGATGGAGACTCACCAAATGGGGCTGCCACATTCCTCACAGCCCCCTGGGAGACACTTCTTCCCTCGGGCAGAGAACAGGAGCATGGCTCACGGAGATGTGATGCACCCAGAATATTTCTTACAGGTTTATTTCCTCAAGGCGGCCTAAGCACCCATGGCAGTAACCTGCATGCCAGGGCTGGCCCCAGGCTCCAACCATGAGGTGCCCCCACAATTCTAAGGGGGCTGTTATAGGCTGACAGCACTAGTGCCGAAACCAGGGAACTGCACCACTGCACAATCACCCCGCCGTAATATTTTTTTGCCTATTTTCTTAAGAAACAATTTAAGCGGGGGGGTTTTAAGCCCCAAGATTCCAGCTACTGTCATCTCTACCTCTTTCCTTACTCCTCAGAGAGCCACCTCTCACTGCTGCTGGCTCTCCACGGGCCTTCACCCCTGGCAGTGGCAGCTGTAGACAAGGTTCGTGGCAGCAGCCAGGGTTTTGGCTGGCTTAGGTGGTGGGACAGGGCTCTTTCTCACAGCTGCCACCATACTTACCCCATCACAAATATCTACAGGAGCCTGGGCAGGCTGCAGCTCTCTGATGGAGGGCACTTCTTCGCTCCCTGACCTGCCGCCTCGACGCTCCCACCAGCACAGCCACAAATGCCTGTTGTTATACATTTCCTTGGGAACTTGGGAAGAATTTGTGAAAGTGTCTGTAAGGCCATGAATGGACTTAAGTGTCCCTTTATTACAGTCTTAGTTTATTCAAATTTCTGCTTTCTTTTCCCCTCTCAAATTTCTGTGCAATACTGATGAGGTAAAAGGAACATTATTAAAGAACTACACTTATGTTTCAAAACGCAGTTTGCTTTGTTTTGCAAAATAAGGAGGAAGTGTCCTAAATGGTCTGATCCAGCCTATTCAGTCACACAGGTGCAAATCAAATGAAATCCAGAGCAGCAAAGGCCTTTGCTTTGTCTAATTGGGTATTGCTGGGTGATGCTGCTGGTGTTTACCTACACTGTCTGTGAAAGGGATAAAATCCATTTTGTGTCTGTATAATTGTGTTTATGGTGTACTGTTTGACCTCAGGAGATGCTCCCTCTATAGCCTTCCCTATTTCTTTTTTTTCTCAGTCACATTTATGGTTTTTGAGATGTTAAGACATTCAGAAATTAAAATGAAGGAAACCAGAACAGCACTCTTCTTTGGATGTTTAATTAAAAAAAAAAAAACAAACAAAAAACCCAACCCTCCCCAACAACAAAAAAACCCAAAAGAAAGCAAAGGCCTGGAACAGAAAGCATCTTTTTTGGGAGAGAAAACATTAGGTCAGAAGCCATTTCAGAAGGTTTATGGGAAAACACAGCAATATGAATTCTAGACTGTGGGTTCAGTAGTTTAACTCCCATTGAAAGGGTGTGGGACAAATTCCTCCCTTGTTAAGGAGACAAAGAGGTTTTAGAAATGTATGTAAGCCAAATAACACAGAAAATCCAAGTAATACAAAAAGAGAAAGAGAAAAAGAACTCCTTGGTATGATTCACCTTTGCCAAGTGTATAACCCTGATAGAAGGGGCAGCTTTTCAGGTGGTGTAAATCATTGTCACTCCATTGACCTCAGTAAAGTTGTTCTATTAGGGGATATGACCCTCTTAGTATTTCTTCCCAAGGCACAACAATTATGACTAAAAATGTGGAAAATTACCTAGAGTTTTTCACATTTTTAATATTGTGCTTCATTAATCCAAAATCCATTGAACTCAATAGGAGATTTTAATTGAATCCATAGGTTTTGGATTGCCATGTTGAAACTAAGCATGAGTCTACAGCCATGTTATAAAACCTAAAGAAATGGTATTTGTAATGGAATTGCTGACAGATCCTTAACCATAGTGGTGCTAGCGGGAGTCACTATAATATTGTAAATAGGGTGAATAGGCTCTTCTTATCTCATTTCACAGCTGAGCAGTGTATTGCCAGATAAATCAAATCAGGGTAAACGGTTTCATCTAATAAACTGGGTCAACATATAATGTATTTTTCAGGTTTGCACTTTCATTGATTCTCATTTGATTTAAGACGAGATATTTCAGTTTGTGTTTACAACATTTTAAAACACCTCTTTTGCCCCTTCTCTAGAGAACAAGCAAGAAACAGAAGGACTATGCACGCTGGTAGCATCACAAAAATGTCAAGTTTCTGCTTTCTGTAAGTTCTACTTTCCATTATTATGCATCTGGGAGAGAGTAGGGGTGGGGAATGAGGGAGTTACTATCTCATATCTGCATTTTCTCAATAATGTTTTAGTGATGTTTGCTAATGTATCATTCATTAACCATCAGCCACTATAAAAAACATAATCTATCTCACAAAGTGGACATTATTATCGCATTAAATCATTTCACAATATACCTGAACGGTTCCACATGAGGGGCCTGGCCTGACTGAGCTCAAATGCCTTGGGGGCAAACTCTTCAGTAGTAATGAGATACGAGGTCTGTCTGTGATGAATATGATATTACTCGTGTCAGTGGCTGTGGACTGCACCCAGAATATTTCTTCTTACAGTTTTTTTTTTTTTTTCCCTATTGCAAAGGAACTCAGGCAAAGCACTATTAACCCAGTAAATGAAGCTCTAAAGATCACAGAGTGTGCCCATTAGTCGACAAGATTGTGACTAATCCAATTTTTCTTGCAGGGAGCAATTCTAATGCTTCTGTAACATCTGGGGATGGCAGGGCCTGCATTACTGATGAAGCTGGGTATTTTTTCTTCTACCTTTTTCTTCATTGAAGAACAATTATTGCACTCACTTATTCCACTGCTTCTCCTCCCTCCCCCATGTTTTCCCCCGACTCCTTCTGCCCTGATGCCCTCTTTGAAGATGGTTAAAATAATATTGCAGACTGACAGAAGAACTGGAGTGAGGACTGTGGAGGCTAAAAAAGATACCCCTCGAGTTTACTGGAGTGTGGACAGAAAATGTGCTTGTTCAGTGCAGCAAAAGTATTAAGTTCCCCCAAAACAAGAAGAAAAAGGACTCAGAACATTTTCTTCAGTCACCACTAATGGCACGTTGTCTTAAATTGTCCCAGAGCTGGAAGAGAATGTCATGTTGCTTCTACTTACTCTGGTAAAAACATTGTGTGTTTTTATTTGTGTGGCAAGATTATACATCAGTAGAACAGTAAAATACTGCTTTTCTGATTTATTTAATGCAATTATGGGATTTTATTCTAATATAAAATGCCACTAAGGACAGTCTGGGGCATTTTCATTTAGATAGAACCTCAAAAAATATTTTGCAATACTAAAAAAATCTATTAAATTCTGATGGCTAACATGTGTAGATTTTACAGATTGATTTTTCTGTGTTCAGAAGCAAATCTTACATTCACATGTTCAAAGGTGCAAAAGATGCTAAATACCAGTAGAATTCTATTCTCATGGGTAGGGAACAATGCAATAAATTAGAGGAAGAATGGATTAAATACATTTTACTGTCACTTCATTGGCAGTGTTTCAACATGGGAAGAAGTTTAGGAATAGAAAATAAGTCATCCAGTTGCTTAGATCTTTGCATGAAGGAAGTTATTGTTGTTCTCATATGTCATCTGCAGACCTATGGATTTTAGTATATTGGTGTTTCATGTTTAATCTCTCTTGCATATTTCTCCTGCAAAACCATTTTTTTGGGTTCCACACTGAGAATTAAAGTTTGCCCAACATTCAGAACATCTGAGCTAGAACTCTACCTCTCTCGAAATCTATTTAACTTTTATTATTTTATTATAGTATCTCATGCTGTGTATCTCTGCAGGAAATATTGTCTGTTCAGCGTGTCACAGGTAGTCTAGATTCTGGAAGCAGAAACACTTTTTTCACAACATATTTCTATTTCTGTTTATAACTGAAACCAGAATACAGTTGTACACAAACAAGATAGAAAGGTTTTAGACTACAGCTTTTCTTCTGTTTTCTAGACTCAAAGGATATAACGAGGATTCTGTTAACTGCTAATAACAGTTCTGAAGTAGCTTACAAATTTGTTATGAAACATTTGGACAATGTCACCAGGTGACTTCAGCAAGAGTCCTTGAAGATCTGGTGCTAATCAATATGAGGAAAGGTCGTAAAAGAAGTGATAGACTAAGACTAACACTTGCTAATATTTGTAAAAGTATAAATGTATCAAACAAGTAGGAAAAGGGTAGCAGATCTGAAGGTATTTTAACCACCTAGATGTCTGGGCCACTAAATAGAAATACACGTTAATTTAGAGAAATAGAATAAAGTCAGAGACACAGAGAATCAGAGAGAAAGTCAGAGAATCAGACATAGGAGTATTTATTATGTAGAACAGTCAAGACAAAGGAAAGGTTCAAGGCATGAAATATCTTTGATGCTATCTGTCCATCTGAAATACTAAAACCTGGCAATCCAGACAGTGGCTTTCATCATCAGGAAATGGAGAGAAAAGCAACACAAACAGGAAATGCTATTAATGCCTTTAAGAAACTGTAGTTTAGTTTCACAGGGAACAATCATGTTTAATTTGAGGCACTATTTATCATTCAACAATGAACTCCGCAGTGTTTTGTTATGCAGTTAAGAAAGAATGTAGCAAAAATATGCATTTTGTTACAAATCTGCCTGTCAGAGCTTAGCCTAAGTAAATTAAATATATTTTGAATGCTTCTTTACTTACCTGTGTAGACTGGAAAATCTATTTCTCTGGTTTGAGATTACAGGGAGGTTTAAGGTACTACTCAGATGCATACATTATGTGTAACAAATACTAATAGCTGGAGTTATTGAATGAAACCCTCCAAGTCAGCAACAAAACTGCTATTGGACCCACTGAGCCAAGATTTTATAGTCAGATTCATTTTGGCATCTGTAAATGCATCCATCTAATTCTGTTGCTCTTGGACATTCTCCAAAACAACTAAAAGAGAATCTACCCAGTGATGTCAGGGGATGATATGCAGAATCACAGTATTGCCATGCCCCTTTCCAGACCAGATTAGCTAGGAACTTGGCCAAATGTGTTTTACATGCCTTTCCTGACAGATGTATGCATGTAGTATTGAAAAAGAGTCTGCAAGACAGAAAACACTTGTGGTTGTGACTGAAGTGATTAAGTATGCAGGTGTTTGTTAGATTAGGCCTTTAAAGTGGATCTTGCCTAACAACCGTAACTGTTATGGATGTAAGTCATGAATCAAATGGAATTAGTTGATGTATGATAATGTTACATCACTGGGAGAAAAGAGGTACTTATTTTTGCCTTTGAAGTGATAACAAACACCATAAATTTTAATGTCAACTTTTGCTATTATCTCAGCAATTTAATTTTATTTAAATAGTTTCATCTTCTTTTTGTTATTTGTCAAAAGCCACCTTTGCCCTTCTTTTGAATAGCTGAATTTGATAAGCTGTCAGCTGGCATGTGTGAAACTGCAGCAAAACTGCTGTTGACTTCAATGATATCAGGTTTTCACTCACAGCTTCCAGCATGGTTTGAACTGACATGCAAATCCAAATTCAGCTATAAGATGACAGAAAAAGGATTTTTTTCAGCCTACAGATTGCTAAACTGCCGCAAGCAAGCTACCTTCTTACATACAACATGTCTGTAGAAATGTTTGAGAACCCTTCATTGTGCCTGGGTAATTCTAGCAGTGATAGAATCTGAGACTAGTCCTTGCAGAAAGTGTTTGTTACAATACATGTAATTGAAAAAATCACAGCCTTGAAAGGTGTTTTGGTGGTAGGTTGTCAAAACTTGCCCAATGGTGCAACTCATTAATTGTAAAATGAATGTTTTTCCTCTGATGTTTACCATCATGCTGGATCACTGATACCTGATATACTTTTTCTGTATCAAAACCAATTGAGTTTTCTCTCTTAAATTCCAAGAGAACTCTTGCAACTCATTTTAATATTGACTATATGCCTAATTTTACATTTTACATGTCCAAGCCTCAAAATATTTTTCTGATTGTAAATTGGCAGCAAAATGCAGCCACTGCAGAGTCGTGAACAGAACCTAAGGGGTCACTGCACTACCAGTTATGTTCATACGTTGAGCTAGTAGATATTGAGCCGTACTGGTAGGGAGTTTACTACTAAGAAGCATTATTTTAATGCTTCTACAAAAACCACAGGTATTTGGGGATAAACTGTGTCCCAGCTGTCTAGATACAAAAGTATTCTCCCTAGGGAAAGTGGTGGAGTCACCATCCCTGGAAGTGTTCAGAAACTGAGCAGACATGGCACTTGGCCACGTTGTTTAATTGTCATGGTGGTGTTCGGTTGGTGGTTGGACTTGATGATCTCAGAGGTCTTTTCCAGCCTTAATAACTATATGATCATTGAAAGGGGGCAGAATGGATTCAGACTAATTCCTAAAATGGTTCTTAGGCAAACCTGGTAGCATGTAGCTGGGAATAAAAGCTGGGCAGCACTACAGCTGACTAACTTCATCTGTCACCATGTGTTTCAACTAATGTTTGTCAGGTGACTTTGTTAGGGCACCCATTCTAGAAACAGAGTGCTGCAAGGGCAATTGGAGCTTTTTAGTCTTTTTTTTGAATTGGGCTGGTAACAGCATAGCTACAGTTATTGCTACAGGTAAGTGGGTGGGCAGAATTGCTGTGCTTTAGCCTCAACAGTTTTAAGAAACCTGTTTCAGAAGCCATATTAAACAAAATACAAAACTAGGATATTTCTCACTTGAATGCAGTGGGAATCTTTTTTTTCCCTCATATTGAAAAAGACACTTCACTTCTTCCTCTTCACTTAGAGGTATTGAAAGTTGAAACAGAAGTCACAGGACAGAAGGTGGAAGGGAACATTTATGAAGGGTGTGATCTGGATTTACAGTCAAATGGATTTTCAGATGTTATGGCCATCAGCGTAAAGCATTATCCCACTTGAAAATGATCATAAAGAAAGAGTATGTAGGGGTATGTAAGAGGAAAGCAGTCAAAATTATGAGATGCAGTTGTGCTAAACTAATGGGAGCTTCATCCCTTTGTTCAGGAATAGCTACAGTTCTCTCAGTGTCATCTCAAAAAATGATTGAGTGAAGTTTGTGCCTGATTCTGACAGGACTAATGGGAAAAGAGGCAAGCAACATATTTTTAAATGATAGTACAGTAAGCGGAAGTGGATCTGCTCGTGTGGTAATGCTCTATTAATTAAGACCATCAGGAGGCATTAGGAAGGAGAAGTGGAAGAGACGGAAATGTTTAAAAAAATTATTCAAGATATTATTTATGAGTTCTATTTCTAGGACTGAAGCAAGTGTGGTACCTCTCTCAAAAATAAATGACGGAGACCGATGCCGCATAATGGGACAATTTACAAATAGAAATGAAGGAAATGTTTATAATTTTGACCTTAGTGACTCCAGTAAGATCAGTCCTTTACTGGTTTAATATTATTTCACAGTTTGTGCTGTTAAATCAAAAGGTTATCTATAATACATCTGGCAATATTAATGCAAAGGATCAGGGGTATTCAACAGACATTTATTCATTATTAATATAGATAATAAAGGATCATTTATGAGGTTACAGATGAGATTTTTATCATCAAAAGCTTAAAAAGGGAAATGTATTTTTGCTCTAGGACAGAGATGAAAAGAGTCAGTAATGGAAAATGTAAGAGTCAACATGAAACTGTCACATTCATTCTTTTCCTGAAGACAGTTAGGACTTGATAGCAGTGAATGAAAATCAAAATAAAATTAAATGTTTTTGCTGTAAAACTGCTTTATTGGCAGGGAGGGGCTTTCAGTTGCAGTGTGGTAGGCTCTGTTTTTCTCCTTTAGCGAGTCAGTTGTCAATGTTTTTCCGTCACGTAGCTGTCCTTTTCAAAGCCTTTTAAAAAGATCTAGAGTGGGAGAAAGTATCTGTGTCTCAAGAACTTCTGGGAGCTGTCTGAAATAGAACTTGACAAGAGTGAAAGTCAGCTCTAGGGACCCTTCAGTGTTGGGTGCAGACATCACACTCATACATTTTGTGTTTTAGGTATGTAACTCCGTGCCATTGGTTGGTACATTTGCAATTAGTAGTAGAAGGATGTGCACATGTGAAACAGAAGTAACAACAAGAGTAAAATATTGGATTTTTTTCCTGTGTCATAATTGCTGGTATTTAC